TTATGAGGAAAATGCTTTTTAAGGGCCTAAGTAATGTAAATTATCATGATTGATAATTAACAATAAACCTTTAAGTACTTTAAGTAAATATTTGTTTATCAGCGAATTTCAATGAATTTAAAGCTCAGAAAGATCTTGAGTTTAATGTAATATAATCCCATATTTTAGAGATGAAGAAATGGAGGCCTAGAGAGGTTAAATAGCTTATTTAAGGTCATAAGATAATAAGAGGTATGATTAGAACCCAGGTCTTCTAACTTAAAACACGGTGTTCTTTCTACTCTAGCACTGATATGTCTGATCCTAACCACTTTAAGAAATCCAAGTACCACAGAACTCTGAAAGTTTAGATCATTTTCTTGGGAAGAGAATTCAGATCACCCTTTGCATCCCATCAGAAGGTCATAGAAGGAATAGGAGTAGGGCAGGCAATATAATAAAAATGACAATATTGCCTGAATTACTTTATTTATTTAGTACAGTGCCAACCAAATTATGTTAGGTTTACTTTGTAAAGAAATTTTTAAAAATGATCAAGAATAGGAACAAAAGGAAAAGAACCTCAAGAGAAATAATGGTGGGGAAAAGAAGGGGGTGTATTACCAGATCTCAAACTATACTACAAAGCAGTATTCATCAAAACTATTTGGTACAAGTAAAAAATAGAGAGGCTAATCAATGAAACAGATTACATATATAACATATGGAAAGCAAATGTACATATAATTATAAAGCCAAAGACACCAGCTCTTGGGGTAAGGACTCTCTATATGACAAAAACCAATGGGAAAACTGAAAAAAATTATGTCAAAAAGTATAGACCAGCATCTCATACCACATACCATGGTAAGCTCCAAATATATACATGACAGATATAAAAAAGTACATCATAGACAAATTAGAAGAGTAAAGGAGAAAAAACAAAACTTTTCAGAATTATAGATAGGTGAAGAGTTCATGACCAAACAAGGAATAGACAGCATCACAGGAGGCAAAATGGAAAATTTTGATTACATACAATTCAAAAGTTTTTGTGTAAATAAAAACAATGCAGTTAAATTTAAGAGAAGAGAACTAGGAAAAATCTTTGCAGAAATTTTGTCTGATAAAGGTCTCATATCCAAGATGTATAAGGAACTGATTCAAATATATAAAAAACAAGAGTAGTTTCTCAAAAGGAAAGGAAAGAAGGAAGGAGGGAGGTAAGATCATTGAAACATTTTGAGATGCACAGAAGAGAACAGAAAAAAGGGCAGAAGTCAGTCAGTCAACTGGCATTTATTAAGTTCCTATTATGTGCCAGACACCATGTTGAGAAGGAATCATAGACAGTCAATCAGTGAAACAGACAATAAACTTTTATTAAGGGCCTACTCTGTGCTTTGCACCATGTTAGAGCTTTAAAAATAGCCTGGTAAATCGGTTATATAGTTAAAAAGAAAAGCCAGATGTACCTAACAGGTATTCCCAGTTTCATGCATAGAGCCTTGGGGACATCCAAGGTTAATGGGAACAACTTTGAAGAAGATCCAGCAAAAGAGACTGAAGAGAACTAGGAAAGAGTAGTATCACAAAACCCAGAAAAAAGAGAATAGTAAAGAGGGTTATTGGCAGTGTCAAAGTACACAGAGAGAGGTCAAGAACAATGAGATTTGAGAAAAGGTCCTTAAATTTGGCAGCTAAAAGATCATTGGTAACTTTGGAGAGAGTAGTTGAATGTTGATAAGCTCAGAAGCTGGACTGTAGAGAGCTAAGAAAAGAATGAGAGGAAAAGGAAGTGTAGGCACCAATTGTAGATGGCTTTCTCAAGGAGTAGGTCAGTCAAATCAATATGCATTTAATAAGCACCTACTATGTGACAGGGACATATGTCATTGAAAAGATGAGACTGATATAGTCCCACCATTAATGCTAGTCTCATGGGCAGTGTTTGTAAGGGTAAAAGACTTGTATCAAGGGTAGTGTCATGAGCAGGAATCATGGCATAAGATACTGTGAAGATTGCCTGGTGTGGTAGAAAGAACACTGAACTGAGAATAACAAAACCTTGGCTCTAATCCCAGCTCCATTATTGATTTACTTTGTATCCTTAGGGAAAAGATTTCCCTTCTCTGGGTGCCAGTTTTTCCTTCGCCAGATCAGAACTAAGAAGGTCTATTTTTTAATTAAGGAGTCCTGTAGCTATGTAGCACAGTATATATAGAGTGCTATACCTAGAGTTATTTCTAAATGATACCTGTACATGCTATAATCTCCCCCCTAACTCTCCTTTTCCTACTCTAAAGATTCACTGATTAGGGAAAAAATTATTCTAATCTGAGGGAAATGCCCTCCTAGATATTTCTGGATCCAGATTCCACATAAATGCATCCCCTTTTTTTCAGTGAAAACAAAATTCAAATCAACGTCAGCAAAAATGGAACAAACACAATGAATTTACTCCAAATAGTGGGAGAGTGCCTGTGACACTCATCTCCTTCCACATGGCAGGTGCCTGGGCCACAGAGGTAAAGAGCCATACGCTCCCACCAGAGGAAGGGGGAGAGCAGTTATAGTGGAGGCACACACCAATGCTGATCAGTGCCCCTCACCCCACCAAGTCCATGCTGTGAGTGGGACTGGAACCCCTATCAACACTGGGATCATGGCGGCTCCCCAGCAGTCAGTCACTACGACACATCTGCTCTGTCGGTCCCTCTAATGCTGACCCGTCATGCTCAGATCCTGGGCTTCCTATTCTTCTGAAGAAAAAGGTCAAGGAGGGACTCCCCAGCCAGATTAGCAGGGAAGCCTGACACTGGGAATAGTGTCATACTTTCCTCATACTTCCCCCTCCACCCTTGGAGCCATTCTTGTGCAGATTCTTGTGCATTCTTGATTCTTGTGCAGAGTTTTCAAGAGTGGGGGCTATGGGGCACCCATTAGGTGCTCTAGTGTTTTCCCCTCCATGTTTGGAAGGCAATGTAGTGCAGTGGAAAGAATGCTGAATTGGTAGTCTTAGTATCTGATCCAAATCTGAGTTCTACCACTTACTACCTTTGTGACCTTGGGCAAGTCCCCTAACCTCCGTGACTCAGTTTCCTCCTCTGTAAAATGAGGGAATTGAACTAGATTATCTTGAAGGTCCATTTTGTCTCTAAATCTATGATCCCATATATATAATTTCCATGAGTGAATACTACCCAATGATTATTTATATCCCTTTGTAATACTTATTGTGCATTTGAGTTTTTGTTAAAAAAAAATTAATGAACACAATTTTATTTTAAATATACACTAAGAAAATTATTTGCATAGACTGTTTTGTGAAAAAAAGGAGCACACTTTTTAAGTGTTTGAGTAGGGGGGGTTATACATAGTTTGGAAAGCATAAAATTAGGGAATGGATAGAAAGTCCTGTCCAGTAGGAGGGAAAACTGGCATCCAAGAAGGAAAATGACTTGCTCAGCAGCTCAAAGTTAACTAGTAATGGATAGAGATCATTTGATTCGTAGTCCAATATTCTTTCAACTACACCAAGCTATCTTCACAATGGCCTGGGCCATCATTCCTTCCTATGATAATGCCCTTGATACTAATTATCTCTCTGGATGCCAGTCAGCCTGGCATTATCATGGTGAGAGGTTATGCCTGCCTCACCCTGATCTCATTCCTTTTCTGTATTTGGCTCATTCTTTTCCTCCCCTCATTCCTACAAAGAATTAACAGCCCCACTCGGACTCATATGTTCAGAACATGAAAGCATAAAACAGAAAAAAGTCAGTTTTCAATATATATTGACTCGCCATGTGTCACAAGAAAAAAACCATTTTGTTTCTTCCTCAGGAGTTCTGACAGCAATGAAACCCATGGCTTTATTTCTAAATTTCAAAATTCTCTTAACTAGGACTCAGTCCTAGTGTTAGACTAAATAGCCACCAAGGGTCCCTTCCATTTTTATTCAGCGTGTTACTTACTACACTGCTATTTAGGTAACTACTGCCCCCTTGTGTCTGGTGATTAAACTAACCCCCTACTGTCTGGTAAGAGAGACCTTCCTCAACTCCCAAAATCAGAGACCATACAATGTTAGAGTTGGAAGGGACCTTGGGCTCCATCTGGTCTAACTCACTCAATTTGTAGAAAGGGAAACTGAGCCTCAAGGAATTTGTGACTTGCCCAAGGTCCCATAGTTAACAGGCCAGAATTCTGGTTCCCCGATTCCAAATCCAGTGCTCTCTGTGACACCATGCTTACCTATGCCATCCATGTCTCTGGCCTAGTCTAGGGCAGGCCAATCCAAACATTCTAACACAGTGAATTGAGATGCTGTTTTTGTTGTTGTTGTCTATTCTAGAAAAGGATGCTCTCCAGAAAGTTTCTACAACCTAGCTACAGAGACTCACAAATGCACAGATACGGCAAGGCCATTCACTGAAAAACAACTACAGACCTGGGAGGCCAGAACACTTAACCATCAGCCAACACACCACTTTGCTCATTGCTATAGATCTGTGTTTAATTAGGTCAGTAGCTGGAACAAACAGAAAGCTATGAAGGACAAGGGAATGGGTTCAATTCCTGTGTGCAGCAATATACTTTGATGTTCCATGACCAGAGGTCACCTCTAAGCTTGCCCAGTAGTACCCAGTCACACAACTGGGTTGGAGAGATTGGATACTTCAACACAATACATCACAGATGCAAAAACACAACCCATAATGTACATTCTCTCTCTCTCTCTCTCTCTCCTCTCAACATACCCTTCTAATGAAAGATGAATTATCAATATAATTTTTTTTGTATCTAAGAGGCAATACCGTTACATTATTTTTCCGTGAGCAACATCAGGACACTCCGGGACTCTGTTCCTCCTTTTCCAAAACTGTTCCCAGACACCCAGTTCTCTTAAAGACTAACGAGTCCAAGCAAGAACCCCAGAAGGGATCATAGGATCAGATCCTCCATAGCAGGCCATATAAGGGGTGTCTGAGTTTTAGGCCAAGCCTGGGCTCACATACCTTCCTGTGAAAGAACCAGGAGGACAGGTGAATTTATCTTTTAGTGCCCTCTTTTCCGTTTCAGAATCCTCAGTCAGAGTAAGATCTTTGGAAAGAGAGACAAAGGGAAAATATGATTACTTCTTGTTCCATAGTTAATAGGATTAAGGAGTAAAAATAAAGGGGATCCTATATGTAGGTAGAGAAGAGGAAAAATGCTCTCCCCAAAACTCTAAGTTTATTACAAAATTACTTTTGTATAAGTTAAAAATTCATACAGATATGGACTTATTTTTTTCTCTTGATCAACTTTTCAGCTTCTTATATTCACAATCCATAGCTAGACGAAAAGCATTCAAGTGATACGATGAGGTATCAGAGAGTTTGAATTTTAGGCTCCATCCCTTCCCCAACGCAGGAGCTGAAAAACTGCCTCTGTTTCTCTATAGGAAAGAGGGAAGCAGTTATTGGTAGTACAGGAATGAAATAGAGTAGCAGGGAGACACAGGGCTAGGTAAATATATGGATTTCTATGCCTTCATATTTACTTTCCCAGAGACAGTTACTTAAGAGGTTCAGTCTTTATTATGAGTCATTCATCTGTGACAATTTGGAAAAGAAAAACATTTCCATAAGGACATGTGAATTTCACCCATCTTGGGGGGTGGGGTTTGGGAGGAGGAAGTCAGGCTCTGTCAGTTTAATTATGTGCTTATGTATTCGGTTTTAGATAATTAGCTTTGCAAATAGTAGGAACAGAATCATAATTGGTACACTTGGTTTTTGCCCTTTTCTGGTACTACTTCAGCAATAACATTTATTAGAGGTAAATAACTACTCCATCCCATTGAAGTGAAACAGGAAGGGGCTTCTGTTTCCTTTTTAGTTCTGAAGAATATATGTTACTTTTAGTATTTGTGGAGCCAGAAGAAGACAATCAGACTAAATAAAAGTGCTGTGGAGACAGTTTTACCTCATTTTATGCCCTAACATGTTCACTTGGTTTGTCAGATCAACTGTTCTATGGATTTCCATAATAAATATTTGTTGAAAATGGTGAAGCACCTACCTGCGTACAGTGCAAAAGAAAACTTTTCCTCAGCAAGTGAAGTACGCAAGGAGGAAAAAGATTTAAGATGTATTAAAGTTTATTATTTATTTAAGGTCAAAGACTAGATATTACATGGAATCTAGTCACAAATGCATATAACTATAAATTTCAGAGACCTGTTCCAATATAGATGTGTTCCAGCTATTGTGGGCTTTTCTGTCTCTTTAAAAAGAAAAGAAAAAGCCTACAATAGCCTCTCCATCCTTTAGAAAAATATTTGTAGGTGTTAATGTTTTTTAAATGGGACTCAGATCTGTAGCTTCTTTAAACTTTTATTTTCACTCTATAGACTCACAATTTCACATACATGAAGTATCTAGATATAAATTGAATTACTGCTCCCATTTTTTTAAACTGATAAAAGTCAAAGTATTCTACTGAACTGTGGTTAGTAAGACCTACCTTTGGGCCTCGGTTGCTGCGGCTCGGCAGGGCAAAGACTCTGTCGCTCGTTCAATCCTGGAGTGCTGTAGGATGACATTTCACCAGGTGCAACAAGGCTAAGAAGAACAACTGAGACTTCTGTTTCTATTTCCACTCCATCTTTTCCACTTTCCTGAGTCATCCCTTCCTCTCTGCCGCTGAGGGGCTTGGTCACTTCTGGTTCAGGGCCTCCAAGGGTTTCCAAGGCAGTTAGGCTGGAAGACTGCCCAAGGACAAGAGCACAAGAGGATTGTGCTGTCGCTGGGGGGCACTCCTGAACCGATGAGGTATCGGTGCTTTGTGCAACCAAGCACATCTCAGGCTTGTCACTGTGTGTGCCAGACATTGCTGGGAGGTTTAACTTCTCAGTCATAAATTCAATTCTCTCCTTTAGCACCTGAGCAGTGGCCTCAAGAATCCGGATCCTGGCCTGATTGTATTGGAAGGGCATAGGGTTTGATTCTTTGTTAGGCACCACAGAACCCTGAGTCTTCTCCGAGTTTTCAATCTGACTTGACTGAAGATTCAAAGCTGGAGGTAAAGGGCTAGGGCCCAAGTCTGGCCGTTTTGAAGGCCCAGGGGATATGCTCGTGGAGAACGGCAAAGGGAGCTTAACCCCACTTTCAGAAGCCCTGGTAGTAACTGGAGTTTTAGTATCATGGGAAGTTCTGTTCAAATACAAGGGGAAAATAATTGAAAAGAAAAGCATTCAAAAGGGGCAGCTAGGTGGCACAGTGGATAGAGCACTGGCCCTGGAGTCAGGAGGACCTGAATTCAAATATGGCCTCAGACACTTGACACTTAATAGTTGTGTGACCCTAGGCAAGTCACTTAACCCCATTGCCTAGCAAAACAAACAAAAAAGCATTCAAATGATAACCACTAACAGTAATAAACAATGTAAACTTATGTAACACTTGACAGTTTTCCAAAGTGCTTTCCTAAGCTCTGTCTGCCTCAGTTTCCTCAACGATAAAATGGGGATATTAATAGCACCTACCTCCCAAGATTGTTGTGAGGATCAAATGAGATATGGTATTTGTTAAGCATATTGCACAGTGCCTGGGACATAGTAAATGCCATTAAAATATTAGTAATATCCCCCATTTTCACATAGCCTAGCTTGAGGTAAAAAGAAAGTATGTGACTTGCCCAGGGTCACATAGACAATAAAAGTCAGAACTAGTTTTCAAACCCAGGTTCCCTGAATCTAAGTCCAATGTCTTGTCTTTTTTTTTTTTTTAAAGACTGAGCCTGTGATTTCATTGCTGAACTGAAGTGATGAGGAAACTCCCTCTGCCAAAGTGGATCAACAATTTCCCAGTGCCTGGAGGTACTGAGAAGTGGCTTGCTCAGGGTTCCAGCACCACTGTGTCCCAGAGGTCTGACTCCAACCCAGGTCTTCTTGATTCCAAGGCCGACTTTCTATCCATTATGCAGTTTGGCCTCTCTCCAATGTTCTTCCCACTATCCTGTGCTCTTAATTAGATTTTCTTCTTTTCCTTAGGGAGTTGGGGGTGGGACTATGGATTTGGAATACTGTATATGATGTCAGACATTAACTGTTCTTTCCTATAAGGGAAATATCACTGCACATGTGCATGAGAGTCACGGTTGTATTCTATCTGGAAATGGTGTAAAATAGCATTTATCGGACTTTTTTTTAATTAAAGGGAGCTTGTTTAAGTTAATACTTGAAAACAAAACATGCACAAGAGAAATGCTTTCTGGCTTTGAGATCATCCAAAGTCAGTCAGTCAATAAGTGTCGATCAAACACCTACTATGAGCCCGGCGCTGTGCCAAGCTCTGGGGATACAAAGAAAGGCAAAAATGAAAGTCTTTCCTCTCAAAGATCTCATAATGGAATGGAGAAGACAGCACGAACATATGAAAATCCAAAAGAAAGGAAAACTGAAAGAAATTCCCTATTACTGGAGATCCTTTCCCCCCCAAAAAATGTTCTCGGGGAAGTTGGTCAAGACTTAGCTTCAGGAAAAGCCATGACAGAGCCTCTGTAGAACTGCAGAGCAAAGAAAACCTTTTATAATTTTCCTGAGAAATGAGAGATGCAGATTTTAACACACACACACACACACACACACACACACACACACACACACACACA